AGAGACCGCTTTTCTTGAATTGTATGGTATTGATTTTTCTGCTAACCTCCCAATGGATGACTCATAGAATCAGGAAGTAAAAGAAAACTCCATTCTTGTTAGTCATCAGCAATTGGTGTGGGGTTACTTGCTGTTTCCATGTCCACTGTACGTTCACCTGGGGATGGCATCAAAGGGCACTTTCTTGGTGGACATGACCTAAGCAGTCATGCACGTTACCCAACGGTGGGCTATGCATGCTGAGGGTGGGAGGCTCACCTGACCTTCCAGGGTTCCGGCTAGGGTCGCAGTGTTAATATCCTACCAATTGGGTAACATGTCAGGGATTTACATGCACATTTAAAAAACATCCACTTTGCAATATGCTCACCTGTTAGTACTCAGAAGTTGAAAAAAACAATTTTTAAAAAATTAATTCAAATCATGAGCCACTTGAGCAAAGGGCTGCACCCTGCTCATCTCCAGGCCTATGAGACAATGTGTGGAAGCCCTGTCAGTACCTGAAGCAGCACCTAACACAGTAGGGACTCAAATATTTAAATAAAAGTGTTTATAAACAAACATGTCATTAAAAAAAATTATACCTAAAAGTCTAAGCTACTTTATTACAGATTCCAAAATAAGTATTATAAATGATACACACTGAAATATTAAGTTAATAATATGCAGCTGCATTCACTCTATAAATACATAAAACCAATAACTTTTAAAAGTTACCAAGCATTCTTCATCCAGTAACTCCAAAATGCCCATTTTTGCTTCAATCAGGTCAATAACTGGTTGGTTGTCATAAAAATCTATCAGAGTCCAAGGGATATCTTCCTTCATATATTCTTCTTGTTCAAGTTTAAAGACATGCTGGGAATCCAGAAGTTAATGCAGTAAAGTAAAACAGAATATTAAAGTGTGCTTCTGAAGAGGATGTAAGCATTTGGAAAATGTAGATTTGTGACTGATTTGCAATGTTTATGGAAGAATCTGAGGTGTGGGCAAACCCCCTTACCCATGATCAATGCAGCTGAGTTCCTAATGTGGGTTTAGACATCATCCTCCCGCCCTGAGTGGGTACCTGCCGAAGTCCTGGTACCTCCAGCACTGCAGGTACTCAGGGGGGTCCTGGAACTCCGCCCCAACCCCACCCCCGATGCTCACAGCGACTGCTGCTATCCAGGACAGAGCCAGCCTCTTTGGCTGGGTGGAGGCCAGCCTGCCCGAGAATGCTGGCTATGGTGCCAGTGTGAGAAGCCAACAACTTGGAGAGCTTTGTTCACTACTTGTTCGGGCCATAAGGGTATCAGGGAGGCTTCCCAGAGGGCTGGCTCAGGCTCCCTGGCTGCAGGTGGCAGGAGCGGAGGGGCATGGAGGAGAAAGCCTCCTGCAGAAAAATCCAGTGGGAGCAGCATGGAAGCACAAAAGGCGGTTGAGAGCCAAACAGGGCTTGTACAGACCAGAGAGCATAGTGATGGGGACAGTGGGAAGCACAGGAAGATGGCAGAAGGGACATCACGCAAGACTCTCACGTGCCCTAGAGCATTCTGGTCCTGTGGCTTTTTCCTAGGCAGAGGACCCACAGAGGGCGCAAGGGAGGGAGGATCATGATGAGGCCTGGGAAGTTAGCTCAGCTTGAGTAGGGGATGGCTTTGAGGAGGACAGAACTGGAGGCAGAGAGGCCAAACAGGGCTCAGCGGAGTGTTCTGCGGTGGGGGGACACTGTGGGAGGAGTCACGGAGGACGCTGGGGGAGGAGTCAGGACGCTGGGGGAAAAAGTTGAGCAAGAGCGATGAGTTAGGATGCGCGTTAGGCTAGGACACTGGGTCAGTGCTGGTGGTTTAGCCACAAAAAGGAGCATGGAGAGTAAGGATGCCAAGAGAGGAAGGTGGCGGGTTCCTTTTGTCACTGTTGAGCTCCCGGAGGCCACCAGGCACAGGAGTCCAGCAGCTGCCAGGTTTATGGAACAGGAGCTAGGAGACAGTCCTCACTAGGGCTTTTGCGCTGACATTTTTAAGGTATTACCCCCTTCCGGAAGGATCTGCACACTGATAGATGACTCGAAAAAATGAGAAGGAAAAGAGAACAAAGGAGGAGGAGGAAGTGGAAGAGAAGGGAGAGCAGGAGGAAAGTGGAACTGCAGCCTCTGTTATGCTGTTTTCAGGGGTGTCTCACACGTGCGTTATTATGAGGTTGAGGTGAATGTGTGTGTTGGGGACAACGTGGCTCTGGACCTAGGAGAGGGGAGAATCTGCAGAAATAGTTGACTTATGCTGCATATCTATTTGGAATAAACCTTCGTTGTGGTTATTAAATGCTAAATGGCCAGAGAATCTTTGAGAATGCTAACAAACTAGAAATTTGCAACAGTATGAAATTTAATGATTATATGTGGATTGATTCTGGGGCAAGGAACAGGAAAGTAAAGAAACATACTTGGTATGATTCAGTGTTAGGTCTTTTCCTCACGACAATATTAGGCAGACACAATTGGCCCATTTTTAAAGTGAGGAAAACTGAGGCTCAGTGAGCCCAAGGTCAAGGAGGTGGTAGAGCTGAGATTCAAACCCAATTCAGTTTGGGCAAAAACGCACGCTCTCCATGATGTCATACTATCTTTCCCTAGGGGTTGTGTGGGAGAAGCTGAATTTCAAAAGACAAGTTCGCCAGGTGAAGATGAAGGGTTGGAGAAAGGACAGGAGCAGGTAGGTTATGGCAGAGAGTGCAGCAGGTGCAAGGATGTGGAGTCATCAGGAAACTAATTCAATCATTTGGTCCAGCTGCATAGGGGATTTGAATCCAAGATTGGCAGATGGGGAATCCGAAAAGTTGGCAAGTGGCTCAGAGAAGATGAAATAGGAGGGGAAGGTGCAATTTCAAGATTCAGCCACCAGGTGGTGCAGTGACACAGCGTGCAGCTCCATGACTGCTCATGATCTGGGGAGAAGCCTGACGGCCTCTTCCCACGTTCGCAGACACATAGGGCTGAGAACAGGTTTCAAGAAGGCAGAAAAGTCACCTACCAGGTTAAACTGCTGCTGCAGTTTTTCATTAGCATAGTTGATGCAAAACTGTTCAAAGCTGTTGACATCAAAGGTTTCAAAACTGAAATACAGTTTAAACAAGTTAAAATATAACTTGGAGGACATATACATTCGTTTATAGGTCAGCAGTTAAAAAGTTTGCTATGTTTTCTGGAACTTTTAATATCCTGGCAGACGGTTTATAAATCAGCTTTACCCAGGTTGCATCAGAAAGAATCCGGCATGTATGAAACACCTACCCTGAGGCAGGCCCGTCACAATATCATGTATCATTTCATCTACACCACAACACTGACAGAATTATCATCCTCACTTTATAGTTGAGGAGATAGACTCTGAGAGGTTAAGAAACTTGCCTGAGGTCACACAGCTAAGTGTCAGACTCAGCCGAGTCGGCCTGATTGCAACGCCTATGCTTTCAGTGAAAAAGCAAGGCTCTTTCCTATTTCCCCACTCTTTGCATGTTGAAGGGAAAGGTAGCACAATTTTGCCTCTCCCAGGGGTGCTTTCCTTGTTCTTGGAAGAAAAGGGCAGGGCCGTTTAGCACCTATCACCCAGCAGACCCCATCAGGTCCAAGACAGACACGGCCCCGCCTCCATTTTCAGACTTTCAGTGGAGCTGCCCTGGAGCTGAGAGGAGGCAGTCAGGTGACAGAAACAGGAAGCAGGCTGGAGAGGGCTCACAGTGAGCTGTACTGGGCCCTGGCAAACAGGACTGTCCAGCGGGGCAGCTGCTACTCACCAGCCAGCTGTGGCCATGGACTAGTGCAGGTCAGAATGTTAGATCGCCTGATTCTCAAGAGAAGCCAGAAATCTGGACTTTTTCATGAATTATCCCACTCTGTAAAACATGTTATGGGCTGAACAAAACCCAGGCACTAAATTTGTTACCTGGCCAGGTGAGTGCTCCTGCCAGGAGGAAGGTCCCCCAGCACTTTAGGTATTATGATAGCACTGAAGCACATCACCTCACTTAACCCTAACACTGCCCGAGGTGGAGGGCTACAGCGACCCTGCCGTTACACATGATGGTCAGAGGAGATGGTGACCATCACAGAGACCAGCAGCCAGCAAATTGTGCCAGACACACAATTTGATCCCAGCTCTTACTGCCTCCAAAGCTTTGGTTCTTAATCACTCGAATCCTGAGGGGTTACTGCCAGTGCCAACATGGGTCCCTTGAGAGTCTCACTCGCCTGAGCCAATTTGGCTCAAGTTAGACTTCCTGGGCAGGGTAAGAGCCTGGACTTGCCTCTAAACAGCTCCACGATGACTTGGAGCAGGAGCTGAACCCACACAGCTCTGACAGCCCCATTTCACATGCACTCTGGGTGTCCGGAGGCTGGACACTGCAGGCTGGACAGGGCTGGGCTTGGGGGAGAGTTACAAGGGCCTCATTGGGCCGGCCGAGTGGTGCGATGGTTAAAGAACTGGTTTGGGATGCCAGAGGGCCCGGTTCGGATCCCACATATGAGGGCCAGTGACACTGCCCTCCACAGCTAAGATGCTGAACAACAGCTCAACTTGGANCTCTCTCCCCTTACTTTTTCCTGATAGGCAGCTAGATCCCTGTCAAGTACATAATGCATAACATTAATTACCCTTAAAACTTGACAAACCTTGCTTGTTCTCAGGATTTCAATCAACATGTCATAGACGGTGTCTCTGTTCTTTTCAAGGAAACCTTCGCATTTATACTCAACCTATGCAGAGAAAGGAATTAGTGACTTCCAAAGAGACAAAGCAGACAGCAGCTAAGTACCACAAGTTTCTTTTCTTTTTAAAGGAAGATTGATGATGGGTCTATAAAGGCAATCTCTAAAAAAGAGATTGAGTTTCTGTTTATTGCAACTACCCCATCATGGAAAGCTTAGAAAGCTGGGACTACATCACCTGATGGAAAGAGCCAGGCCTCCCGCTACCTGGGTTTCTCACTGTCTTGATTGTAACAATTTAATAGAGAACAATAAAATGATAAGAGGTTAAGGAATTCACAATAAATCTAAAATCAGACATGAGGTCTGCTAGAAACACATTGATCTTCAAAGCAGTACAATCAAAACTCATGTATTTTGTGATAAAAAGAAATTAAGACTTCCTAAGCACATATTCTCTCTCTCACGGGTACCCTACATGCTAAGTGTGACTTGAATGGACCTGAGTAGTCCCTGGACTGCCTGTTCTGTCGGGGAGGCAGCTTTGGCTCCAGGGCAGACAGCTTCGTTCCAGACTCTCACTGTACCTTATCTGCAAAGTGCTGGATGATAAAGGATGTATTTGACATTCTGGGTTTTTCAAACAAAGAGTTCTTGTTGACGAAATTATTGTACAGCTTTTGAAGCCAGTTTTCATCAGTGCCATGTGGTAACTGGAAGAGAAAAGCAAACCAAATAGCAAATAAGAAAACTAGAGATGGAAGACGAGGTGAGAAAAAGCGCCAATTCTGAGAAATCAAGAGGATCTGGCACCTCGAAGTGAGCTGCTCTAGACCGGCGGCTACATGTTTAAATGCAACTCTAGACATAAATCTGTCCTTGATCTCAATAATCTTTGGAGTGATTTAAATGGATGTAGCAATGCTCTTTTAGAAGAACAAAATGTTGTAAACTAAAAGGAAACAGTCATATCATGATTTAAGAAAGAATTTTACTTCTGCAAAATTGGCAGTATTTTCATATATTTTCCCAAAAAAGTCCAAAGGTTCAGAAAACAGTAGTACGGATTCCATTATGTGAATGTGACTTTTACTTATTTTTATTTTATTATTTTTTTATTTTTTTTAAGGAGGGCACAGCTCACAGTGGCCCATGCGGGGATCAAACCGGCAACCTTGGTGTTATCAGCACCATGCTCTAACCAACTGAGCTAACTAGCCACCCTGTGACTTTTATTCTTAGTTGTTGAATGGGGAAAGACTGGCACCTAAATGTAGTCTTCCCCACCCACCCCAATGAAAATAGCTTTTCCTTTGCTTCACTTCCTAATGAATAACTACCTCCTTGCACTGAGATCTTACCTCCTCAAACTAAGTTCATTGCAAAACTCCCTCTTGATAACTAGTGATTTTAAAGCTATCAAGTATA